TATATATAAGATGACAATTTTTCCTGAATGATAATTTAATTGGCTTTATAAGAATGAACATTAACACTCCGTCGAAACATTCATTTACCAGTCGCATTTAATGCTTAATTGAATGGAACTACTGTTTTGAAAAGACGGTCCATTGAATGCATCGAAGTACACGCTTGTGCAATACATTTGAGTGAGTCAGGTCTATGCAAAGCAGTTATCTATGCAAAATGCAATACGATGCCTTGTTCATCATTTCAACATTATACCGCGCTAATTGTCCGTAAATCGCACTCATCCAATCCGATCTGGTTTAATAAAGACTGTTGTCAATCTTAAGAGTGCTCGAAGTGAACATTTTGGATTTTTGTTTCACGTCCGCTTGAACTTATTTGTGTTGCTGAATAAATGAAAAGATGAGTAGTTTTTTTCATTCTAATATGTAGGGAGAATTGCGTATTAGAACGTCACAGCTCAAGCGATTTTCCAATAAGAAAACGACATAACTTTGCTTCAAGCTTTTGGGTTCAGCTGAATAGTCAAAATAGGATGACGAAATTGCTTCATCTATCAATGAACCATGCATTTGATGATGGTGTTCTGGCTGCTAGAAGTAATGAAAGCTTCAAAATATTCACTGCACGTATACAAAGAATTTAGTTTCGTACAGATAAAGTGAAGTGATGGGACGAGAATGAAACTCGATGAAACGCATTCTGGCTAATACGGTTACTAGCTTGGGATGGATCATCAACAGATGCGTCGAACAAATCGTGCATTGCATTCGAGTATGACTCTGCCTCGTTTTTGTTCATTAATAAACAAGCAGCAACTTTATTTGCGCTGAGGATTTATTCTCATGCTTCGTTCATATCTCAACTAATCGTTTATTCGCTATCAACAACTAGATTCTTCTGTTAACAAACGATTAAATATTCAGAGCGTTGATTTGAGTGGGTAGTGAAGGAACAATCGCTCGGTTATGATTCTGTTTTAGGGGTAATGATTCGATTCGCTTCTGGAGACAGGACAATTTTAGATTATGGTTATAAAGAATCATGTTTGTTCAATACGCAACGATACGCACAGCCCATTTGATTCAACGTTTATGAAGAAATCATGAACAGTCAAGTTAGACGTGCGCTACTAGACAGAGTTAGGATTCATTAATGTACGGTGGATGTTTTCATTCTCAACACTAATAATATAAACCGATTCAAACTTTTTTCTTTATCTTATAACCATTATCAATTATTATTACTTTTATACTTACGATTATTGTTATTACTGTTATTATTATTCTTAATGTTATTGTTACTATTATTACTGTTACTATTATTATTAATATTATTGTTACTGTTATCACTGTTACTATTATTATTACTTTATCACTGTTATTCTTATTATAATTGGTACTATTATTATAATTATTGTTGTTGCCATTATTGTTGCTATTGTTATGACTATTGTTCTGCAACTAATAACAGCGTATTTTCAAGCAATAAATTGTTCATAATGGAGATGGATACTTGTTTGTTTTAGAGAATGCCTCGTCATATTGGTGGCCACCATCTTCATCACAATTAAATATTCATTCTTCATTCATATGAATCCAACTAAATATTCTTATATTTATTCATCGATGTGCACATAGTCATGCAGTAACCCGTAATTGTGTTTGTAGTATAGCAACACATTTATCTGCATGCACCTAACCCTAATGTTTCGTTCGGTGCTTCTATATCGGCTTGTGTGTCTACATGTATGTCTCTCACAAGGCCATTAAGCATCCGAACTAAACCAGCCAACAACATGTTCGTCGGCCACAAAACTCGTCCATTCATCCATATAGCAGCGGTCGGCAATCCAAGTGCAGGTTGCTCTATAGCACTTGTAAGCTAACATTCATTTCACTGCCGAACAGAAGGACCGATAAATGGATGTTGATGATGATGCTTCAACCTCAAATACATTCACTGCTTTCATCGTTCCAATATTCAGTTGCATTATTATACATAATTATCGTCGTGCTACTAATTCTTAGCAATTATTATGTGAACGAGGTGTGATGTGATGTGATGATTTTCTAATTTTTATGCATAACGGTTGCATATGCATAACTTCTGTTTAAAGCCTTCTTATATTCATGAGGAAGAACATTAGTGATTTCTGCTGGACGACTGTTGCTTGTTTGCAATTCCACAATCAGTTTCTCGATTTTCACTCGGTTTCTCGATTTTCATTTAGAGCACCATCAGTTACAGTAGTTTTTAAGCAACAGTACGTGTATCTTGAACAAGTGTTCTATAAACAGCATTTATATGATAAAATAGTGCTTTGTATTTTCAAAACGCTCGGGTTTGCTTTATATTTCTTAATTTGTTCGTATAAATCGTTTATTCATTTCCAATTTCTTCTCACTATACGACGCTGAATTTACAGATTTACAGAAGAGCCTAAACCGAAATCGACTCATAAACTTGTCGTAGGGTGGCGAACAGACTGCTGAAAATGCGATTTTTTGGAAGTGAGGAGTCAAACTGAGGTTTTTAGCAGGAATGATGTTTTTTGTTGGTCGTTGTATGATGGTTGTATGTAGTAATGAAATTTTCATCTGAAAAAGCACTCAGCTGGTGCGCAGTAGTCATCTTGCGCAATCAATTCATCATGCTGTAACCGTTCATCCGTAATTGAATTAATTCATTATACGACGTATTGCATAGTTACATACTTCAAAAAACTTGAATTTTGCGAATACGACGACAACTGACTGATATGATATGAATTGAAAAGGATCGTATGTTATTATGGAATAAAATGTGGAACGAATCGATGATCAACAATTGAATGCAAAAGTACTAATCGAATTGAATTGAAATCAGTCAGTCGCAGGCCAGCGTGACTGCGTTTGCGTATGCTGTTCGTACCGCTTTGGCTTTGTACAATACCAGCCGTACTGTCGTTGAGATGTCGATTATTCGCCCAAAACAATCGTCCCATCTACGAGTGCATCAATATTTCCACAGCATCCGGATCGGTTGCCAGTCGTGGCGTCACACTTCCGACAGTTCCGCCTGGAACAATGACATTCAAGATAGTGAATGCACGTGTCGAAACACTCGAAAGTGTCGGTAATCCAGAAATAGTGACATTTATGATGAATGACTGTCGCTTGAGTGCCGTCAGTACGAATGCTTTTGCGCTTTCAACGAATCTGAAACAAATTGATTTATCGCACAATTTATTGACACATTCCTCGTTCGACGCATTCAAATACCACAATCACTCACCACCTCTTCATCAACACATCGAACGACTAATCTTATCGTATAATCGTTTCGAAGTTATTCCTAACTTAAGTGCATTGAATGCACTACGTGATTTAGATTTATCACATAATCAGATTATTCGTATTCCTGATGCTAGTTTATTATTACCGAAACTCGAATGGATCGATTTATCCTATAATTCATTAACGAACGTACGTAAATGGCAGTTTAGTAATCGAATACGATTTATTGAATTACACGAGAATCCATGGAATTGTGACTGTGCACTTCGAGATTTTGTTGCATTCCAACGAGAAACATTGATAAGTCGATCGCTGCGTTGCAAGCAACCCCCTCCCTTACATGGCATCAAATGGGACGATCTTGAGCTTTCGGTAAGTTCTGCCTTAACTTCTTTTGTATATGTGCCAGTTTGATTGTTATGATCCGTGAGCAGCTGGTCTATCTATGCATTCTAACGTTCTGAAGCGAAAGTTGCCAGCGAATTCAGTCATTTATTGAAATGAAGTTATTCAAAATACGGAGCATCATTTACTAAACTGAATGTTTCTGATTGTTCGTCAACCGAAATTTATTGTCAACTGGAATTCTTGCACTTAAGATCCCGGTTTTTGCACTTAAGACCTTGCCTTCGCAATGCAGTCGAAGTTGTTTTGCAATGCATTGCTAGAAACAAAACACTTGTGTGAATTGTTTCTGGTACTATTTTTTTATTGTAAGTCAAAATGAACTAGTAAATGTTAACAACAGCATTCTTCCATTTGTATGTTAATGCGACGAATTTTATTGGATTTCGTGATTGTTGCGCATGAAATTCGAACATTACGTAATTTGCCTCGTTAAAAACACATATCGAGCAGAACTGTTCGGTTTGTTTTTCATTTCGAATCATTTTAGTTCAATTTGTTCGTACCCTATAAATGAGCAATTTTCATAAAATATTTTTGTTACTGATATGAGGAATTCAAGGATTTCACATGTGGTCCTGAAATAAGCGCACCGCTTCATGAAGTGATAAGTGCATCAAGAGGTGAACTTATTCAAATGAATTGCGAAGTGGTTGGTGATCCAATTCCGAATGTTTCGTGGATCACTAATCAGTCGAATGCTCCGCTGAAGTGGAATGTTCGTAGGACGCTTACAGCAAAACAGACGAAGCTTACAAATTATCGACAACCATATATTTTGCATACGCTTTCTGTATGAATTGATAATTTTTGTTCAATATTTACTAATATTCATTTCAGTTTTAATCTATTAAGTTCTCAGAACCATCAGTTCTCTTCTCTCTTTTTGAATATCATCCTTTAAACGTGTTAAATGCTCACAATTCATTCGCATCGTAAAAGTATTGCCTCATCCTTTCGTTACAACTGTGTTTTATTTATGCATCATTAACATGAGGGCATTAAAATTTTGATTTCTTCTTCGCGTCATCAAGTAAAATAATTAATACTGGAATTCCATTCAAAACACTATTCCAGTAGAACAATAAACAAATTGTTGTTCAATTCTGACAAACGGAAAGTTGAATTCGCTATTTGTATCAGAAAACAGTTGCAAATGGCGCTTAAGTTGTAGTCAGAGTTGGCAGCAGACAATTTTTTTCCGAGGTCAGCGATCGAACACCCCATCGAGATCAACGAAATAACAAATTCGGAGCTTCAGTCGGTTTCAGTTGGAAGCCACTGAGGTTCAATCTTCGCTGACAAGAGGCCGATCAGTGTCTTTCGATTTCGGTCGACGGTCACAGACTTGACTCTAGCTGTGATAGATAGTAACTGTTCTTGTTAGATCACATCTTTATCACACTGAATTGAGTGATCAATATTGATTGGATACAGGATAATGCGTGCTCACATTCACAACTTATTGTTACAGATCAACGAAGTGAGTGCTGAAGATGAAAATACCTACTGGTGTATTGCAAGAGCTGGGTATGGTATGATGAGGAAACGTTTTGATTTGACGTTATCTTCAAACGACATAAAACTGCCGAGTGATGCAGATTTTCGTGATTTAATCAATGAAAACGTTGAGTTCACTTCCTTAGTAGATGATGAAACTGATGGTCACATGTCTGTGCTATCAGCAGATGAAAACGCTGATGATGGAACGCGAAACGTATGGATGAAGAACGATGATTCTGACATTATGTTGAAAATATTGTTGGGGGGACATCCATTTTTGATGGTTATTCTGTTGACTGTGATTGTGTTAGCGTGTGCTTTACTATTGTCGTTTTGTGCTTTTGTCTATCGAATGCACACAACGAGTCGTCGCAATCATATGTTGCCCGAACGAAAGTGTTTCATTGCGAACGAACGTAATTTGTTGGTACAAGATCAAAATGTTACCACTAAAATCACTACAAGTTCCAGTAATAAGTGCGGCAGTAGCCCGCCGCTCGTGATCATTAATCATACTGATAACGGCATTCAATCAGGACTCAACAATTCGACATTATCAGTTCAGAAACCGATAACTGATTCCAATCACTACGATGATAATTCATCGGAAGGGATGCAATTAGATCGATGTCATTTAGATGAATGGACCCCAAAAGCACCACTTGCTCAATACGATAGAGATACTTCAGTATTACCAATTGTGCAAACATCATTATAGTAATTATGTAATTTCAATTGTTTAATTCAAATTTGCTTTGTCATTGTAACATTCTGCTATATTCTCTCACGGGTATTCATATCTAGAACACACTCCTCAAAGTGATTACATATGATGAATGCTAATGTGTGACAACGTTTGATGGCATTGATGACTGCGCGAATAACTGCTCATGGAGCATCAAAACAGATTCATAATAGAATGATTAAGCAATAAGAGTAAATATTAAAGCATTAATCCACTTCATTCATTCAGCATATTATCCAAACTATTTTCGCAACCGTCTACCAACGCCCACTAATTGAAGCAGCATCCATCTGTCAAATATATCCCATTACAATTACTATATATAATGTATTATAAATGTATTGTTAATGGTGTCCAGAAGTTGTGCATAATTTACGAATAATGTATGTATTTATAGGTATTGTCAGTAATTGTCGTTGTTGATGAAATTGTTCTGTTTGTGCTAATGAGACTCAGGTTTTCGCGAAAGAGTTATACATAATCCACCGTTAAATTAATCTTATGCTTATTACGCTTTTTCTTGTTCATCAATTATCCACGTAATTAATAATGGTATCAATTGAGATTTCAGAAAAGTAAACATATTTTAAAGCGATACGAATCAGAGACATCCATTTTTATTTGCATTTAAATTATATCTATTGACTGAAGCACAATTTAATTGATCAGCTAATGTTCTGTGAGTGCGATGATACGATTCATTAGAATATGCAGCCCTTTATACATGATATACGATGTGTCATAAAAATTTTCATTCATTTTTGATATTGATCATTCACACGGACAAATACACACCACATAACCCAATAACCAAATCGCACAATATTAATTCATCATTCAAGCATTCTCATTCATTTTCGTTTTGAAATTGAATCTGACAGATACGCTAATTGGATCCTTTTTGGTAAATAATCGAAATTATAGTGACCGGTTACATATAGAGTATAAGGTGGAATTCAACAATTAGCATCTGTGTACGAAACTATCACATATAAGCATATTTGGCACACCTTCATTATGCACTCATTTATTATGCAGCGGAGAACAACTGTTCAAGTTTCGTCAACTTTCACAAGTAAAACAATCAACTAAAATTGCTTCGGCGAAAAAATGAAAATGACAACTTTTCATGCTCTTTGGATTGATGTTGATTCCCTCTCAAGTGTTCATAACGACTGATCACAGCCCCACCACAAGGCTGCTGAACTTTTTAACTAATTCATTTGAAAATCCATCCAACTGTTCTCTTGCAAGTTTGAAAATTTTTTGTTCTTCTGCCTTCTTGAACTGTTTTATCATTGAAATAATAACCAAAGTATTCACACAACTCAAACCGTATTCAAATATGAATGGATTCGTATAATTTTACTTACTAATAATACGAGATAATATGAAAAGACGCTTTAGGTAACTTGTCACAAACAGGAAGCCAGCTGTTAAAAGGGGGAAAAAATTTGAGTGGGCAAAAAATTGATACCCGGACACTTTGCCTAAAGGACAGTTTGCCTATTAGGAAAAATATTCATTAAAAAACCGTCCGTTAGGCAATGTGTCTTTAAACAAACTGTTGTCAGGCAAAACGTTTCTAGGAATATTGTCCGGCCACGAAAAAAATTAGCTCAAGGGCAGGAAGGAATCGAGCAAAAAGTGTAATCAAGTTCGGAAGTAAGTCAAAATGTAAGACGTAAGACATAACAGCACTTAAGAGTCTAGATGATGAATAGAGGAAGACCAAAAATGAGGGATTTAATTTGGAAGTTAGCTGGTTGAAACTAGCTGCGTATTCAAGTATTCATACTTGTGATACTTTTATTCGTAAAGAGTATCACTGAAAGCAATTCAAAAACGTTTTATTTACAATTTTGATAAACGAATGAAAACATGGAGAAATTATTAATGGAGAAAAAAGACAGATAAATGACAAAATATCACAAACACGCACATGCACATCAGTAGAGACAAACAACCGACCATACAAGTAAAGGTCTCAAATGGCCGTATTACATGAATAAAATGAATACATAAATTCACTAACTACACAACTCACATCAGATAATATTTCGATAATCATGAAACATATCTCTTCGAAACTTTTATACCGAAAAAGTATCGCGATGCGAAAATACTAAAGCTGATAACATGGTCAATTATATTAAACATATGATAACAATAAGATAAAAATTCATGCGGAAAAAGTAATTCGGAAAAATATAAAGTTTTCTGTTCAAGGAAGTGCAACACTTTGGTGACAAAACAGAGCTGTGTAAAACTGAAAACGTTTAAATTTTTTTTGGTCGACAAAATCAAAATATTTAGAATTCCCATGAGGCGTAATTAGTTTAAATCAACAATTAATACACTTACTGTATT